AGGGACTAAAATCTTAAAGTAACAGGGGTTCTTTTTCAAAAAGTGTCTGGCTGGATTCCAGGAGTAACAGGCCTGACTGGCGAGAGAGAGATGGGCCAACTCCCCAAAGCAGGGGCTCTTTCAAGAAGGTGTTTTTGAAAAGAGCGTCTCCATTTCTGCTGGTCTCTGTAGTAGGATAAACAGTGGAGGGTGGTCCCTAGGGACTGTCAGCTGGGAACAGTCAGGCTGAGTGCTTCTCCCACGAAAAGACTCACAGTATCTGATTAAATCTGGCTAAAATAGCCAGTGAGGAGACCTTGACAGAAAAGAATTGAGAAATCGTGTTGTCATATGTGCCTGAGCACCCGCCATTCATTAGTTCATCATCCATCAAATAGCTATTCGGTGCCGCTGTGTGTACTGTTACATGCACTGTGCTTGGACACAATGGGGCTTGTGAAATCTATGGCCTAGGGAGGGGAAAAGACATTAATCAAATAGACTCCCAAATAAACATGATTACAGATTGTGTGAAGTCTTAGAAGGAGGCATTCCACGTGGTATGAGAGCATCTGAAAGAGCTATTTGGGGAGAGCTTTTCCTGAAGTCACATTGAGGCTAAGCCCTGGCGGGGTGAGTTAAGTCAGCCAGGAGGGCAGGGGTATGAGAGATGTGGGGAGCGGTCAAGGTGAAAGAAGGCCTGTGTGGATACAGAAAACAAACTTACGGTTTCCAAGGGAGAAAGTCGGGGGCGGGAGAAGTCGGGAGACTGAAATTGACATATTCACGCTATTATATATTAAATAGATTGCTAATGAGGACTTCCTGTATAGCACAGAGGATTCTACTGAGCACTCTGTAGTGACTGATATGGGAAAAGAATCTAAAAAGAGTGTATAACTGAATCACTTTGTTGTACAGCAGAAACTAACACATTCTAAACAAACTCCTCTCAAATAAAAATTAACTTGAAAAAGAAAGAAAGAGGTCCCGTGTGGCTGTAGCTCAGTGTTCAAGGGAAGAGAAGGCAGAGAATAGCATGGGTGAGGCTGTGGGGTCTAGCTGCTCACGGGAAGGATTTGAGTCTGATCCTGAAAGTGAAAGTGGAAGTCGCCCAGTCATGTCTGACTCTTCGTGACCCCATGGCAACAGGAAATATATTTCCCTCAGAGTGATAGGATCATGTACGAGTTTTGCAGAGGTCACGCTGGAAAACCGACTTCTACACAAGCCCAGTAGGAGGTGATAGAATGGACCAGGCTGGTATCAGTGACAAAATGCAGCAGGCAGACAGCAGTGATGTTTAGGACATACAGTCAGAGGACTTGGTGATGGAATCAGTATGAGTGAGAGAAGACAAGAGGTTAGGGACGCTCCCCAGTTTTCTGACTTATTTTCCTCTTTTTACTTTATTCACTGAATCGCCAGTCACGTGGAGAAGTCAGCTCCGACTTGAGCTTTTATGGAGATGTCAAGATGTGGACTCCACTTCTGGGGAGTGGAATCTATGGGTCTTCAGCACAGAAGAGATGTTTGGGCTCAGTGTTACTTTGGAGAAGGATGGGGAGAGAGGTTGGGAGATGATAAAGGGCGGAAATAGAGCTCTTCTCTTCTTTGAGGCAGCCCCAGATCTATTTGGAGAGGCGGGGAGACATTTACAAATTAATATAATAAATGTAAATGTTCATGATTTTGTAGAAGTGTGATGAGACTGTGTTGAGAGTTAGATGACAGCCAGGTGTGTAGCGCTGAGGGAGCAGAGCCCACAGCGAATGAGGGAACTGACCCAGGAACTCAGGTGGGGGTGAGCGCCACAGGCCCGTTCACAGGAGTTCAGCGGGAGGCGCTGACTCTACTTAATACTTGCGGTACTTGTTCAGACCCTGGCAGTGGCGTGTAAAACTGAGTCACCCTTTCTGGGAGGCAGTTTGGCGGTAACCATATATATGTTAACAGTTCAGTCATTTTGACCTAGCGATTTATCTTCTAGGAATTTATCCTATAAAAATATCGGTCAAATTACTAAGGTACGGAAAAAGCACTGTTGTAATAGCAAAGAAAAACTATTTAGTAAGTAACACAGCTGTCGATCAATAGAGGCGTGGGTAACAGTCAATCTGAGTATGTACCTTATTATAGCAATAGCAGGTAGGTATGAGGAAGAACACTTTTAGATTTTACAAAAAGCAGTTGAAAAGCAGTGTGTATAATATCATTTTATTGCTAGCAAAGAAACCAGAACTATGTTAATAGTAGTTATCTGGAGAAGTTAAAAAAAGAATTCTCAATTTTATGAGGTTTTATGTATGTATATTTTGCAGTAAAAACATGTATGACTTTTCTAATTGGAAATGAGAGTGGAGATTTTATATAAGAAGAACACGGCAAGGGGGCAGGAGTGCCTACTGGTGGTGACCAGGAATATCTCTTCACTCCTACTTTCTCTTCCTCGAGGCTCACCTGTGTGACTCAGCCACACTTGCTTATGGATCCTGCAGTTGTTATTATTGTTTAGTCATATCCCACTCTTTTGTGACCCCATGGACTGTAGCCTGCCAGGCTCCTCTGTCCATGGGCTTTTCCAAGCAGGAATTACTGGAGTGGGTTGTCATGCCTTTCTCCAGGGGATCTTCCCAACTCAGGGATCAAACCCGCATCTCCTGTATCGGCAGGCGAGTTCTTGGCCAGTGAGCCGCCAGGGTCCTACAAGACCATGCTCTTCTAGGAGGCTGCTCCCCGTCATCAAGTTCAGGATGTTGGTTTGATGAGCATTTCTTGACAATCTGTAATCAACCACCATTGGGCCCTGGAGATGCCTAGTGGAGAGAGTGAATAAGGTACAGTCTCTGCCCTGAAGAAACTTACTGTTGAGGGGCAGAAATTGCCAGGGAAACAAATGAGCGCGGTACAGAGTTAAGTCTGGATGCCCTGAGGTCTCTTCCCAGTTGAAAAGCCTTCAGTTCAAGAGCGAACACTGGAGCTTCTGAAATTTCCTTGGGCTGGGGACAGGTTGGAAGGCACTGAGCAGCCCCTCCCCTTTTGTTCTAGAATGCCCTGACTGCCCACCTTGGCAAAAAGGAAAGGTCCAAATAATACAACCCTTCCTACATCCCACTCCCCAAGGAAAATGAAAGGGAATTCCTGTCAAGAAACCCATGAGCAAGGAGCACATTTCAGTGCCGTGTCTGTCATTTCTGTCCCATGTGGGCTTGTCAGCGTGTACTCAGCACACAGCAGGTGTGCGGCCTGTGTTTACTGATCCCAAGTGACTACCCTTCTGAACCCTCAGCCCGTCACCAGGGCTGACAAGAGCTTTACCTGCCCATAACTTGGCCCACCATGGGCTTGGGGGGTGTGCTTTTATTTTGGTTTGTACCAAGCCAGCCTTTTCCATGGACCCTCCTGTGCCATTCTGTCTCTTTTGCACATTGGGCTAATCTTCTCCATATGTGTCTGGTTTGGCATGTGCGTCTCGACCTCCCATGAGAGGGTGAGGCTGCCTCAGACAAACGCGGTGAGTCGCTGCCCAGCCCGCCGGGCCCTGGAGCTGAGCCACTGACCAGCTCTCTGAAGAGGGCAGCGCCTGTTAGGCCTCCTCTCTCTGGAAAGGCTCTGTGAAGAGGAACCTAGATGGGCTTCTCTTCTGAGTTGAGTGGGCTGTGAGAAGAAGCGGTTCTTTGAACAGATACTGACTGGGGGCGCCCCTGGAGCAGAGTCTCACCAGGACGGCAAGCCTGCAGTGTACCCGGCTGTTAGCCACGCCATGTGGCGCTCACATCGGGAGCCCTCTAGGCCTCAAACTCCCTGCTCTGACTACCAGCCTCCTCTCCTCAGCTCCCTTCACCGTCATAGAAATCCGCTTCCTTCCCCAGCAGGATGGAACCCTTGCCCATCGTGTTTGTGACGGGGCGGGGTTTATGTTTGTGCTGGGTAGAGTTCATGGTTGCAGATTGAAGAAAGGAGAACCATTTGACAGTAGAAGAAGAAACTTCATGTGAAAGGCGTGTTACAGTTTTACAAAGTTCTTTCAGAGTCAATACCTTTATTAATCCCTATAGCCACCCTCTAAAGTAGGAATTGTCTCCTTGAAGTACAGAGAAGTCTTGTTGCTTGGTAAGAGGCAGGGCCAGAACCAAATCCCAGCCTCCTAACTCCAGATTCAGAGCTCTTTTCTAGAATTCTGTCCTCCCCCAAACTGCAGGCTGCTGCCTGGGATCCCCTCAAGCCCTTCTGTGTAAGCCCCATCAAGGTGCTTTTACAGGGCTCTTCCTGTGTTCCTGGTGACACCTCAGGCCGATCTCTGGACCTTGGTTGGCATCTGGGTCAGGGGAGAAGCCTGTTTAAGCAGAAAGGTGAAATCCTTGTGAGAAGAACAAGCACAGTCACTGCCCAGGGACCCTCAAAGATTCTGTCAGCCACTGCTGCTCTGAAGACAGAAAAAGCTCTATCTTCAGAGGGGTTTGTACATGACCACTGGTCTCCCCATGTAGTCTTCAGAGTACCCATTCTCATCAGGTGATAGTAGTTGTCTATGACCTCAAGCCAGACCCTGGTCAAAATGGAGGTATTTTGTGAGGCAGGTGGGCCTCTCAGCCTACACCCTGCTGCCCCCATCCCTCACCAGTCCTGTGCATACACACCATCATGCCAGCTCTTACGTCCTCCCCAAGCCCAAGAGCCCCTTTTATGTCCACTAGAATAGCTTCATCAAGTTCCTGAACCTTTCCGGTCCTTTGTCTCCCTGATTGAGATATGAGGTCAGCATGCATGCTCACACTCGTTCCTCTATAAAATTCAACATATAAGTTGATGAGTCCTCAAGATTCAGATTCTAGGGCCCCGAAGCCCTGGGGATTCCAAAAGGTAATCAGACACAATCTCACTGCCCTTCAGAGGCTCATAGTCTAGCAAGGCAGACAGATGTGTAAACAGATGATCATGACTCAGTGGGAACATCGACAAAGTATTTCTCAGCTCCTGTCAAAGCTGTGTCCCCTGAGAGCTGTTGAGGGAAGGCGAACATGGGCATCCTTCCTTGGAAGTCAGGGAAAGGCGTGTGGGAGACAAGGGTGAGCTGGATGACCTTGGGCACGTTCTGTAGCTTCTCTGGGCCTCAATTTCCTTGTCTGTACAGCAGAATGATAAAGCCCATGTTGCAGAGTTTTAGCGTAGGGATAATACAGAGTGTATTCAAGCATCAAGCCAATGCCTTGCACGTGATAAATCATAGCAGAAGGGCCAGAGAGATTATTGAATTGTCCTTTTTGGAAAGCATGAGTGTCACAGGGATGACTTATTGTAACAGCAAGTAGTATTCACTAGTGCCCAGTAAATGCCTGACCCGATTCTGGACCTCGGCCTTAAGAATGAAGCTCTGATGGCGCCGGCACTCTTATTACCACAGAAGGTCCTAGAGCAGGCTGAGGCATTCTCCCTCAGATTCATCACTGCCCGCCTCTCATAGCCTTGTATCGTTTTCAGCCCATTTCTTCTTCTCACCAAGTCAACCTGGGCAAACCTTCCTTTAGTCAAGTCTGTTTCCATGAAAACCCTGTAAGTTCATGGCAGCAAGGATGTTCCCTCTGGCCTCACTGCTGAGTCCTGCTTTCCAGGGCTGACTTACCATGTGTCCTCAGTCAAGGCACTTGATTTTTCAAAACTGTGTCTTCTTCATCCCCTGTCACCCAAATCAGCTGTTTTTGCCCCATGCCCTTAGCATAGTGGGGCTTCCCTGGTGGCCCAGCAGTAAAGAATCTGCCTGCCAATGCAGGAGATGCAGGTTCGATCCCTGGGTCGGGAAGATCCCCTGGAGAAGGAAATGGAAACCCACTCCAGTATTCTTGCCTGGGAAATCCCGTGGACAGAGGAGCCTGGCGGGCTACAGTCCATGGGGTCCCTGAAGAGTCAGACGTGACTTAGCGACTGAACAACAACTGAGTGGTATTGAGTAGCCCAGAAAAAGTTTGTTCAAGTTTTTTCATGCAATCTTGCACAAAAACCAGAACAACCTTCTTAGCCAACTGAACAAGATGTAAGCAAAGTGGACTCTACTCTTCTTTGCTAGTCATTCAACAGATACTTTCCTCATTGAGTCTCTGAATCCCACACTAGGAGAAATGCAAAGACACAAGGCATAGGGACCGTCTAAGCAGCTGTATCCCTACCACTAGAGTCCCTGTTGCCAAGTAATTAATGTTAGCACATTGAGGGAAACTTAATTAAATGGCTGTTTTGCTTAATGGACCTCAGTTTTCTCATCTGGAAAGTGGGTATAGTAATAATACCTCATATAGTTCTCGTTAAAGATTAAACTGTCTTTACATGAGTTTCCCAGACTGGGTGCTCAGTGCTTGGTAGTTGTTGGTCACCTGCCATTAGAGCTACCAAATATTTATTGAGGGCCTCCTATGGACTAGATAGATCCCAACAATCTGCACTTTTCAAGTTCCGCAGCGGCTCAGTGGTAAAGAATCTTAACTGCAATACAGGAGACACAGGTTCAGTCCCTGGGTTGGGGAAAATCCCCTGGAGGAGGAAATGGCAAACCCACTCTGTTGTTCTTGCTGGAGAAAATCCCATGGACAGAGGAGCCTAGAGGGCTACAGCCCATGGGATTGCAAAGAGTCTGACTGAGCGACTGAGCACACACATGGACTAGACTCTGCAGGGGCTCTGGGGATACTGTCATGCAGAGACCTAGGCAATTAGGAAGTCATTAGCCCAGTCTAGGAGGGGAAAGCATTAAACAAAGAATCACATAAATAAATATGGAATTACACATGTCCCCTCTCCTGCCCTTCAGGGACTAAGGCCGATTGCATCAAGACAGTTTTGGGTAGAAGAGAAAGGAGCAAAATGGCTGTGTTTCTAGGCTGCTGAGGCCAGCCCCCTTTTCCCCTGTTCTCGGAGACTCTGAGCAGTACCCACAGGACACAGCCTCTGCCATCCTTCAGGGCGGCTGCAGGCTCAGAAGCAGCAGGGAGTCTGGGCACCTGTGAGCCGGAGCGCGTGCCCCCTGTCCCCTGCCCAGGGCTGCGCCTCCTGCAAACACCGCCTGACTTCTGAGAGACACCTTTCCCGTGTTGGGAATTCATGGCCCTTCACAGTGACTAGGAAAAGGGGAGGGAAAAACAACAACAACAACTCTAGGCTGGATTTTCTTCTTAGAAGTCTACAGACTTCAGCCTGGCCCGAGTCTGGGCTGGAGAGTGGGCACCTAAGCAGGCACAGCCTGGCCTGGCAGCCTGCAGACTGAGGGGGGCTCTGGCAGCCCCCCACCTGCCTTCTCCTCAGATGTCAGTCTCGTCGGACTCCCCTGACGCGAGCGAAGCTCCAGAGGCCCTACCCCAACGGTGCTGCTCTGGATCGAGGCCTCACTAAACTCTCAGCTCCCTGGTTTGCAAAGCAAACTTCAGCCTTGTACTATTTACCTTGGCAAGTCTGGGACCAGATTGATGATCTGTAAAGTGGATTTGTTATTTGGCTGTTTGCTTTGGCAGCTCTTGAAAGCGCTTTGCTGATTACAGTCCCAGATGTCATTGCATACATTACCCTGCTCTATAACGGGGCTTTGAACACTTTAATTTGAACTACAAATACTATTAAGCTTTTTGCACCTCTCCTGCCTTTCGTTCTTGGATATTAAATATCAGAACAGACAGCCTGCATTCCCTTAGGCTTCTTTCCCATTGTCTTTGTCAGCCTCCTCCCATAGAGAGCTCCCAGCTTTCCTCCTGTTCTCTCTCTGGGGCTTTCTAGAAACCTTGCCTATCTATTCTCACCCCCAGCCCAGCTCCCCTGGTGGCATTCCTGTCGATTTTTCCCTAATGGGTCATCCGACTTTCTAGTTTCAAGGTGCAGTGTGCTCATTCCAAGCCTGGCTTCCCCGCACTCCCAGTCCTGAGGATTTTGTCCTAATGCTCTGTTCCACTCATCCACAAGGATCTTTTGTTTGTTTTAACATTGGGTGTGTGTGTGTGTGTGCGCGCGCTCAATCGTGTCCGACTTTTTGTGACCCCTGTGGACTACGGCCCTCCAGGCTCCTCTGTCCATGGAAGTTTCCAGGCAAGATTATTGGTGTAGGTTGCCATGCCCTCCTCCAGGGGATCTTCCCAACCCAGGAATTGAACCCACATCTCCTGCGTTGCGAGCAGATCCTTTACCACTGAGACACTGGGGAAGCCCTGTTTTAGCATGACCGATGGCATTCTTTGGGGAGAGCTAGATTTGGCGCATGAATGTGTTGTGGTTTATCCCCCAGACATGATGGGGTCTCACCAAAAAGGCCCAGCATCACACAGTACCGCAGCGGCAGAACCAAAAATGACTTTATACCTTCCCAACTCAAGGCCTGGTGTAGCTGGCCTTGCTCCCTTTTTCCTACTTGATTCGCGATCGCCTCCCAGGGTGGTGTGGGGAGGAGAGCGGAGCCTGGGTCTTTAAACGGGGCAGTCGCTGCTCCGTATATCTTTGGGGTTATTGGTGGAGAGTGCCGGTGTTCCTGGCTAATGGTGGGGTAGATGACTCCGTGTTCTCCAAGGTAATTGCTTCTTCCTGTTGTAAATAAACCATTAGCTGGGTCCTTGCCTCAGGAAGCAATTTAAGGCCCAGGGGAGGTAGCCAAAGAAGTCAGCCTTCAGCCTCCTGGAAGGGAGGCCTGGTCTGCCCCTCGGAGCAACAAAGTGCCCGGTCACCGTTCTGCCAAGCTCCCAACGGGCTTCCCTAGGCCTTGGGTTTGCCAAGTTCCGTGTGAACCGCCTCTGTTTTTTTTTCCTCTCCAAAGAAAATCACTATTTCTAGTCCACCTAAACTAAGTATTGGTGGGATTTTTCTTTTTTTTCTTTTGGTAGTGTTATTTACTTTTTTTTTTTTCCTTTTTCTCTTTTACTTTCACTCCTTGGAGGTCATTTTCTGTCTGCTCCTTCTCCTCTGGCCTTAAAGAAATTCAAGGCTCTTAGTCGAAGCCTTTCAGCATGTCACAGGGCTTTCAAGATGGAAAAAGTCTCTCTGGTTTCAACCGTTAGTGTATTATCCCTACAAGGAAGCTGGTTCTCACCTCATTTTATCATTGAGGAGGTTGTGGCTCAGTGAGGGCCTGGTCCGATGTCACACAGCTGTGGCAGGGCCAAGGTTTATGAACAGCTAGATCCTGGATCTGTGTGACTTCAAGCCAGGGCTGTGTGTCTCTCCCCGCTGCTTCCATTCAGCCTCTTCTGTGGAAGGTCTGAGTTCTGGCTTGAAAACCACAGCGTCCCTTCCGTGGTGTAATCGCCTCAAAAGTAGGTTGAATGTCACGCTTCATTTTGTATCCCAGTCACTGGTCCCGGACCTTCTTGTATTTAGATGCCCAGTAAATGTTCGTTGGATGGATAACCGTACATCCACTCAAGTGCTTCTGATTTTAAGTGACTGTGTCTTCCCTGTGGCCGGTCTTTAGGTAGGTGGAGGTGGGACTTTCAACTTTGAAATATTTCAGTTGAAGAAGTTAATTCACTTTGTGAGTTTACTTTAGGAATAGAGATTATGGCAGTATTTTTGGCCACCACTCTCGAATTCTTCTAACTTTTTACTGTAATGAGCAAATCGAGCAGATTAAGGACATACTTAACTGCCAAATGGTGTTCTGAACTGTGTAAAGTTACCGGGTGGCTTCCCCGCCCCCCCGACCCCTGCCATGTATAAAAGATTGTGTGGGTTCTGTGAACTCTGCCTTTTTTTTTTCTTTCTTTTTTTTTTTCAGTCCTTCCTGTTTTATTGTGTTTGAAGTATCTCTGTGGTGACCTGTTGGGAGTGGATTCTTCCATATGGAAGTGTTTCTTTAACTTTTTAATCATTTCTTTGGGGAAGTGGAGGGTTAGGGGTAGCAGATGTTTTTCTGGCATTGCTGGCTGAGTGGAGGTAGGGGCTTTTGGAACTGTGAGTCAGGCGAAGCCCAGCCTTGAAAGGAGAAGGCCCCTCCCCGGGGTAGGAGGCAGCCCGACATCACTGGATCTGGAAACTCAGGCCCATGGGGGAGTAGGTCCTTCTGCCCTCACCCAGACTAGTGCCTTTCCCATTTCCCAGGAAGAAGGCCTTTTCCCCTGTGATGCTAAAAAAAG